CTTGTGGGTTCGCACCTCGCGAACCCGAGCTGGGTTCGCACCTCGCGAACCCAAGAGGCGCGAACTCGAGCTGGGTTCGCACCCAGGAGCCTGGGTTCCTCGCGAACCCAGCTCTTGGGTTCGCGAGGTGCGAACCCAGGCTCCTGGGTGCGAACCCAGGCTCCTGGGTGCGAACCCACGAGCTGGGTTCGCACACCCAGGAGCCTGGGTTCCTCGCGGTTCGAGAGCCTAGATGTTAAAAGAGAAAAAAAAGAAAAGGCAGGGGAAGAAAGAAGAGGGTAAATTAGTAATTAAAGGAAAACATTTTGCCATGTCATCAATCTTTTTTAGGACAAATCAGTAATTAAAAGTAAAAAATTTAGCATGTCATCAATTTTTCTCACGTGGATTTTCCACGTAATTTAATAAAAAAAAACAAAATGAGTTTTCCGTTAATTAACTTGCCATGTCAGCCAAAATTTAACGGAGGGACTAAAAAGGGGCCGGATTTGTGAACAGTAAGGACCAAAAAGGGGATTTTTTTGGTACAGGGACTAAAAAAGGGCTTTTTCTTATAGTAGAGGGACCAAAAAGGGTATTTAACCTTCTTTTTTTGAATCCAAGTCCTACTTCTTTTCTCATATAGTTTCTTAAATTCTTTTAGAAATCAGATATAGCCAGATGATGGACCTTTGCATTTGCTTGACGCCTCACGAGGAAAATGAAAAACATAACCAATGGGCACTAGCCATGGTATATGGCTATAACTGTTGAACAGTAGCTCCTTTCAAACAAAATAAAACAAAAATAAATTTTGATCCTCCATAAAAATCATCTGGGTGCTAAACTTTGATTTTTTTTTTATTTATACTTTTATCCCTAACTTCATATCAAAATTTTTAAGTCTATAAAAATCAACTTAACCTAATTCTTTTAGGTAATACTAAACTTTGATAAACAATTACTGATATCTCATTATTTTCTCGTCATAAGATCAAACCCATGCTTTATTAGACAATTCAGAGGATGCATATGCTGATATCTGAACCTCTAAAAACGTAAATAAAAGTCATTTCTTTGACAATCAAGAGTCCAATGGCCAATACCATAATAATTGAATACCGTTGAATAAGAGTTCAAATGTTCACTTAGAAGACAAACAAAATCAAAATAATTGAATCCTCTACAGTAAACACTGAGACCATTAGTATAGCCACTAAATAAGGAGCTCCAATAAGCATTTCATTTGAAGCTGGTCCATCATCACTTGAAAATAAAATGAAACCAAAATATGTCTCTTAAATTGGCAATTGCAACAATAGCTAATTAGTAAAGTTTTACAAAAATTCTAAAGGATTACAAATATATATAATAGGAAATTAAAAGGTAGATATGCATAACTTAAAGAGACCCAAATTACTTATGTAATTCTTGGCCAAAGAAAACACCAATGGCAGCCCCAAATTCCCCCTTTGAGCAACCTACCAAATTCTCCTTTTTATTAGCAGAAGAAAAATTAACAGTGTCCCATAATAGCAAAATATATTCTGTGGATTTATCCTAACTCTATAATGAAAAGAATTGCAGGTAAAAAAGAAAAAACAAAAAGAGTTTATTCCTTACAAATAGAGAGCTCAAGCTCCTTGTTTTCGCTTAATGCTTGCACTTCAATCTCAGTCTCTTCTCCCCCTTCTCCCCAATCTGACACGAGGCAATTTCTTCAAAAATTGCAGACACAAATCAGTCCAAAAACCAATTTACAAAGGAAAATAGGGGTTAACAATGCCCATCTTTACAATTGGTAACAATGCCTAATATATAGTTTAATTACTTGCAAACAAACCGTCAATACAAAAACCAATTCAATAGTCTTCTAAAATTATAGAGTGGAAAAAGTATTGATAGTAACATGTAAATATACCATTCTCATCAAATATCATCAATAGACACCAACTAATAAGGCTAAGATAACAAGATTGCCTTAGTTTGCAGGAAACTTGAAAGAAATATTACCTTGGATTTTGCCATCAAAACCTTAAATCAAGAGAAACCACAATTTTCTCCAAGGGACGGTGGGAAGAAGCTGATTTTGAAACCCAAAATTCTTCAAAAACCGATAATAAAAACCGAATGGGTATTTACCATTTCATTTTAAATTTTTAAATTTTAATTTAAGATCTGATTTTTTTTTAAGTTCATTTAATTCGATTTTTATATTTAAATAATTAAACTTATCACAAATACTCTGACAAAAAAAAAAAGTTAAATCGCGGTTTTTTTTCTCCAAGACCAATAGAAATATTAACTTGCCCATTTCAATTCTATCTAAACAACGAGATAGATTATCTTCCAGACTTATCCTCTTAACTAATATATAAACAACGAGTTGAACCATAATTCTAACTACATCAACTAAGAAGAGGCTAACAAAGTTCGAGAGAGGATTAAGCAACAACAAGTATGCTAGACATATTCTGTCAAGTTTTTAAGATTGTAGCCAACCATTTAACAATTTAACAATAAAATAAGTCATGCATTTATAGAAAAAAATGATTTTAGGTCACCTGAATGGCAAATCTTCCCGGTAGTCAACCTCTCCTTATAATTCTTTTGATGGTGATCGATCTATGGGTTTAGAGTATTTTCTAGATTTAGGTTCAAGGGATTATAGAGGGTCGGATCTTAAAATGGGATTTGGGGGATTTAATTTAAAGTGGTGACCGATGAGGCTGGCCAATTGGGTGATGATTGCACAAATTCTGGAAAAGAGGAAGAGAGTAACCAGCCAAGAGTGCATTGGAGAGGGCGGTGGGTTAGAGAGAACCAAATTTTCGGATGGTTTTTGGTTGATTTTAAGAGGGGAACCAGTTAGGTTTGGGTGAGAAGGATTACAGGGAGAAGGGAAAGGCAATGTTTTGGTTTTCAAAGGGAAGTGGAACCAGTAAGGGCTGGGAAGGAATACTGCAAAAAATACAAAATAAAAAAATAAAATCTAAAACACAAAAAGTAGAGTATCCGGCTACTATTTTTTACCTCCAGATTAATTTCCAAAAACTACCAAAGTTTGGTCAGCTATTTTACTACAAGTTACTGTACATAAATAGTATGTTAGGTACCTTTTATATTTTTAAATTAACATTTATATATATATATATTTTTTAAGAAGGACAATAATTAGAACTGTTAGCGTGTTAGAGGTGTTAG